CCATACATTTTTTTTTTTTTATCATGCTGCGTTTGGATCTTATTTATTTATAACCGCATTGTTCTTTGTTTTTTCTATGTTGGCAGTCAGAGATAAATATCCTTGACTTCCTGCTCAGATATCCATTGTGCTGTATCCGCACTCTGCCGGTACAGTGCTTTCCCAGAGTGGACCTGCAGGGGGTGCTGGGAACCTTCAAATCAGATCTGCAGGCCGGACTTGAGAGTGTGTGCGGTTTGCCGGTGCGGATGACCTGCAAGCCTTGCTACTACACCAGTGAACTGAACAGACCAGACACTCAGGTACTGCACACACACACGCGTGCGTCTATAAACACAAACATGCCGTCACTTAGCTTACTCTCCTGCTTATAGCAATAAAGTAGCAATCAATTGAATTTGACATCAAGTACTGCGCTCTGCTGCTTAGTATTACTTCTGACATTGCCCAGTTTGTTATGGCTATGCTCATCAGTGGCACAGATGCAGCTGGATGTGTTGCTTTATGGATGTTCCAAAGCCATTGAGATGCATGTGTTATCCAGATTTTACATTCATGTTCTGGATTATGCAGACCGTAGAAATCCTTTTTTTTTTTTTTGATTTTAAAAATAATATGATAAAGCCTTGTTCATTTAAAAACTTGTTCACAGCCACATTTCTTGAGTTAATTTATTACATGGATTTAAATATTCTAATTATTTTGTACAGCAAACTTTCTTAACTATTATGCATGCAGCTTTGATGGCCTGATTTAATTTATTTGTCACACCAGTTATTTAGTAAAGTAAACAGTACACAGAATTTAGTAAAGTAAAAAAAAAAAAAAGATTAAATACGGTGAATAAATTAAAAGAAATGGTGATCAGTCACAGACAGATGAATGTATATTCCCTTTTACAATCTATGTTGGAGCAATTCCATATTTTATAAATAAAAATGAATTATTTAAATGTATTAAAATTTTAATGGACCTGCAGTAAATTACTACTTTGAGACAAAAAATTATAATAATAATGATTTAATATATCTTGGCCTGTTACCGACAGATGACAAGCATGTTCCCTTTTACTCCCATATAAATCTAAAATGTTGATGCTGATTGAAGTCCTTGGACACGTAATACATCAACTGCCCACATAAGTGATCAAAAGAGACAGCGTCTCAAAACACTTCACTGCACATGCGATGCTTATTAATGAATACAGCTTCCAACAAAACCAGAAGCATCCACTTCAATAGCAAACAGCAAGATTTAGTCAAAGTCGTGGCCTTGAGGGGATGCACAGTGGTGTATCAGTGACCCAGATCAGGCTTATGTCATTTCCTCATCACAGTCCCCCTCTTCATAGTTTCCTTTCTTTACTCTCATTGTCTATAAAAAATGCAAAAGATTAAATTTATATGCAAATAAACAGATCAAAAACTCATCTATTGGCTTTTGGCACACAAGTTATTTGATCTGCTTTTTGAGGACACATCGTCCGCTTTAGCTATAATATCATTGTTTTCTTTTTCTTAGAGATAATATTTAAAAAGTGACATTTCATAAAACTGCAAACGTTCAAGAATAAAGACCCCTTGTTTAGTAGATGAATTACAAAATCTTAAACTTTCTCAAAATATAATAACTTGCCTAAACTCACAGTGAAAGTGGAGGGAATTACATCACACACATATGGGAAGTGTTTATATGGACAGTGAGCAAAGTGGTGTGCTGTGGTCTGCCTGCTAAAACAATCCTTGAGTTTGCTGGATAATTGACGCTTAACATTTATTACATAGAATACAAGTAAGAGTTTCCAATACCTGATACTACATTAGATCATTTCTTCCTGTTAGTTGTTGTTGGCAGATGGAGGAGAGTCTAAAAGTCAGCCAGATGGTTTAAGGTTTAATTTATACTGGCCAGAGCTGAGGGTTGATGTTATTAAACTTTGACAAATGCTGTGAAACGTGATTTGAAACACTATATGTGCCGTTTGTTAGTACAGATGGAAAGCTGGCGCAGAGGACGCTTTCATTAATCTCATAATGATTGATAATGGCAACATTAGGCAGCAATGATTAACTGACTGGTTAATTTATGTTGGATGTACAAAAGCATACTAGTGCCAGCATCATTATCAACATACATGTTCAGCACAAATAATTGTTTAACTAAGAGGAACCTTACAGATTTCGTTATCGAGAAGTGATTTTTCCATGTCTCTGAGAAAGCTCACAGATGTGGAGGTAAGAGTCAGTCTGCCATAATATAACAGGATCTTTTTGGGTCATTTAAGTTTTGCAATGCATGTTGGTGCAATTCTATATTTTAGTAATAAAATTAAATATTGAAAATATGTCAATATTTTTTTTATTTCTAATAGTCCTTAGCCGTCTTCAAGAAACGACTAAAAACACATCTGTTCCATCTTTATTTGACCCTCTAACTCTAGCACTTTCTATTCTATTTTAATTCTACTCTATCTATTTATCTTCTTTGTTTATTAAAAAAAAAACTAACACTAGCTTTCTATTTTTTCTATTCTATCTACTTGTTTTTCTTTTTGTGTGTGTGTGTGTGTGTGTATATATATATATATACCTTGCTACGTGTACTGCGTTAGGCTAACCGAGACTTGTCATTTGCACTTACATATTGTTGCTCTTTTGTTAGTTTGATTGCTTTTATTGTCCTCATTTGTAAGTCGCTTTGGATAAAAGCGTCTGCTAAATGACTAAATGTAAATGTAAAATGATTTAAATATAAATGGAGTAGTTGTAGTAGATTATTTATTTTAGTGAAAGGGAAACATATTATTTAAAAAATAATCCTATAATAATAATTTAAACTAATAATAATTTTAAAAAATATTGTACACAGCCACAATTTTACAGTTGATTTATTACATAAAATAAATGTATTATTTTATAGTTAAAATTATGTGAAATATTTATAAATTATACCACATATTATATATTTCATGTCAATTTTGGCTCAAGATATCATGTCTGTAGTGTTACCCAATAGAGTTTTATGTATTGATCGATATCTTTTTAGAGTAGTGATAATGATAATTTAAGAAATCTGAAATTTCATGAAAGTATAATGGTAAATTTAACTTCAGTGAACCCTATAAAAGTTAATTTTTTTAGACATTGGTGGTTTGTATCACCACAGAATCAACCATATGTGCGCACAGGAAATATTTCACTATTCACAAACTCTTCTTTCCTTACATTTCTAGTGCTTTGGGCCCCTGCCTGTAAACGTGACAACAGAAAACAGCAGCAGAGCTGTACTGAACCAGCTTCCCAGCAGCTGCCCACGCGACGCAGTGCAACACCGCTCCAGTCAGTGTGACTCAACTGGAAAACAGACTGAAAAGAAAAAGCGATCCAGTTTGGATTCGTCTGTTGACCAGAAAGGCTGGACGTCCTCCAACTTGGCAACTCAGTCCTCTTCCTCTCCCACTAATGTTCATTTTATTCACATCCAGTCACAGTCTGCACTTCCAAGACCAAAGCTTGTGCCAATCTTCAAAAACAAATCACACACCCGCCATGTGAACGTGACTGAGATGCTTGCAGTGAAACAGCAGCAGGGGCCGGAAGAGCAGAAGCTGACAGCAGTTAGAAGGCCTCTGTCATCTACTTGTCTGTCATCGTCTTCCAAACCCCACTGCTCCACACCACCAGCCTCTTCTAACCAGTTCTCCAGGCCTCCAGCCCCGGAGCGGATGACTTTACCCTTTTCTAAGAGTAAGGAAAAGACCAACAGTGGAGTCACTGGGATTCTCCCTCCTCTGCCTTTAGTACAGATGCAGCCCCAAATCATGCCTGAGATCCCCAGCAATAGAGTAAGTAAGCCATGCAAACAAACAGCAATCTGTCCTGTACCAAAAACCTGTTGGATTTCTTAGAGCCCTATGAAATCCATTTTATTTTTTCCCCAATTCCATTATATTTTATTTGACTATTTATTGGTTAAATAAAATGTTAGTAATCAAAAAGCCAATGTCCAAGAAATTATTAAACGTATACCATTTAGTTTATTAAAAGTTCAACAAAAATAAATTTTTTAGGGCCCAATAAAGCATGTTTTATATTTTCTCAAATTCCATTATATTTTCCCAAATTCTCTGTCTTCTGTTTTAATGGTTTAATAAAATGTTAATAATCAAAAAGCATGTCTAATTAATTTAAACTTCAGAACTGTATTTATTTATTTATTATAAAAATGGGGCCCTATGAAATATTTTATTTTAAATTCGTTGTGTGTTTTAATTTTTCTGGATGTTTTATTATCAAAAGTTTTATAATCAATTTACTATCAGAAATGGTGGTAATCAAATGAAGGCATAAAACATTACATTTTAAAAGATTAAGGGCCAGATTTTCTAACAGTTTGTGCCAGCGCAATCCCTATTTTGTTGTTTTAAAAACGACTGTCAGGATTTACTAAAGACACGCAGTGAGAAATTAGCGATGAAAAGTCGTGGACAGTAATTTTTGCGGCTGACCTTATTGTATATGCATTTGTAGGAGTGTCCATTTCAGACGCAAAATTTAAGGGAGGAGAATATTTAAATGAGTCGCACAACATGATTTACTAAGGTTTGCGGTAGTCGATTTACTGGTATTTGTGCCATTATTCATCACCCAAAAAAAGCATATATTAACTAATTTTGCGCTTAACATGGACGAAATTGTTGCTGTCAGGAGGAGGCACCACAGAGAACAGAGAGTGTGTGGTAGAAGGGAGAAAATGTTTTCCACTCATTAATTTATTTGGAATGCCAGCGGAAGACATTATCCGAACATATCCTTATGCTAATTTGCACTGCTCTTGGTACAGTAGATTGCATTGGTCATTATGGAAATGAGATGTTGCGTCTGCATTCTTTAATTTGTGCAGTCAGTAGATCACCCGCAGAACTTTCCACTCCCATCAGTGATTTTATGGAATTGCGCTCTCGCAGTAGTTTGCCTTGTTTAGTATATCTGGCCCTAAATTGTTAATAAAATAAAAATTATGCAATTCTTTTTACTTTTTTAGCAATCAAAGTGCTGCACAACTGAGGTTTGCAGTTAAATTTAAAACATGGAGGAAAAATTGTGTGGTTATTCCTTAAAAAATTATTTACAAAAAAAAAAAAAATTAATAAATTATTATTATTATTATTACTACTACTACTACATTGAGTCGTACATTCTACTGAATGTATTCCACTGTATTTTCTCACAATTTCTTCAATTTAAACCAAACATTTTGTTGTGAGGTTTCTGTGTATGATATATGACAATAGATTTTCTCAAATGAAATAGTAAAATGCTCATGAAGTGACTATCAGAGCATCTCTGGAGACTATCAGAGCATCTCATGTCCTCATATAATGAGACGGCAGATGCTGAAAACACCTCTGGTCTCACGCACGCTTGCTTATGTGTGTAGCAGACAAAACTGCAGTGCTTAGTCACACAGAGACATGCAGAACATGCAGACTTCATATTTAAATATTCTTTTTGTGATTTTAATATTCACAGACACTTTGACGTTATACAGTAAATTCGTTTTTTATGACCGGATTCTGTGATTCTGTCCGTGTTTTCTGCATTGCGGAAATCACAGGGCCCTAATTTCTAAGCAGTTAAACTTACAAAAACAGAACTCCTTAGCAAATGCATGGTAAGTTTTGCACAGGCAAGCACGGCTTACATTTTCTCATGTAAAAATTTAGCTTGCAAATTGCTGTATTTCTCATGGGACATCTTACACACTTGGCACGAGGCACAGATTTAGCAAGACTAGGCAAATTAAATGGTGCCGTTTCCTGAAAATAATTGATGAACCTACATGAATGATTAAATCTAGTGTAGTGCTTCTAATGGATCCTGTCTCGACATCTTTCAGGGAGACACGTTTGAGTCAAAACCAAAGAAGCTCAAACAGAGTGTGCAGCACGTGGAAGTGTATGCGACAAGCAATCAGGTATTTTGGCATATCTAATAGTCTGTTCTGTTTTGTTTTTTTACATTGCACATGTAGAAAATTTACCACAGAAATAGTCTTCATAAGGGCATCTCATTATCTTTAGTCAAAAACTTCAGAGCTGTAGTTTCACTTTTGCAGGGCAGAACAGTCTGCGATAGTCCAGAGCCCAGCAGTGTGACTGCTTATTGGCACACTTAGTCTAAATGAAAACATTATAAGCCTGGCATGTGTTCATGGTTTTGATTGGATGTCATTAAGAGAGAAGATGAGCTCCTATTTTTTCTTTATGATGGAGGCTACTAACAGGTGCAGCCATATAAAAACCCATAACATACCCAATGGCTGGTTCATTTTATGGCTTGATGGGTGACCTTGAACTGTAGGAACAATAACAAGTGTTCAGCTCTTAGCAGAGTTTTGCATCAAGATACACTACCGTTCAAAAGTTTGGAAGAGTCTTGAAAGAAATTAATACTTTTATTCAGAAACGATGCATTACATTGATTGAAGGTGACAGTAAAGGCATTTGTAATGTTGCAAAATTTCGGTTTCAAATAGGGCTGTTGATTTAACACGTTAAACTAGTTAATTAGTTGTGGAAAAAAATAGCACATTAAAATTCTTAATGTAATTAATGCACCCACCCCACGTACGTCATCTTACATTGTGCTCGACTTGAAGTGGCGCTGTGCAGATGTTTGACATCAAAGTACCATGAGAGCGATTTGAAAGCATATGGATCCGTCTGCTCTCTATAGAAACATTTCTTCCTCATACACCAATCGGTCTGTGCAATACACCTATACAGTTGATTGATGACAAACATGATGCAAGGCAACAACTCACTGCATGATGGAGCCTACAGAATGCAGTTATATGCCCCTAAAATTCAAGAGATTGGGGAAAAATGCCCCAGTATGAGATTTGGTCTCATATTTAAATCATATGATATAGTTATGCAATATCACACCAGTGTTGTTTTTGTCCCAAATAGCATGAGTGCAAATGTCATATTGATTTTAAACTACAGTTCAATAAATAAGAACTTAAAATTAGACACATTATTGGACACATTTATTGTCTGTCTATTGTCTATTTTAGACACATTATTGTCAGTTTTTGCTCAGTTTTGCCACTGCAAATATTACCTATTAAAGCCACAGCAGAACTATTGTGCGTCTCCGAGCAACGAATCTTGTGAACCAGTGATTCAATGGCTCATTCATAAAGAGAGTTATTTACTTCATTCCTGAATGAATCAGTCATTTGAACAAATTGAATGAATGAATGACTCAGTGACTTATTCATTAAGACATTTCCTGCCCTGCCACCTACTGGCAGTTTTAGTTTCTTATTTAGAGTATTGTTTCATTAAAAAAAATTATTTCATATTTACATATTAATAAGAAATCTGAAAAATAAAACCCATATTAATAAAAAAAATAATTAAATGAATAGTTTACCCCCCCAAAAAAATTTTAAAAAGAAAAAATTATTTCTAAAGCTACTTTTTTAAATATCTATTTCATGCATTTCTCATGTAACTCAATAATGGCTTTAAATTCTCTTTTGTGGGTAATTTCTCAGTCAAATTTGATGTACAGTTAATTAATCGCCACATTGTGTAATTAATTAGATTAAAAATTTTTAATCGACTGACAGCCCTAGTTTCAAATAAATGCTGTTCTTTTGAACTCTTTTGAGCTTTTCTATTCATCAAAGAATCCTAAAAAAAAGTATCACGGGTAAATTCATAAAATTTATATTAAATTATTCTCAACTCCGCCCTTTACCTTTTCATTTATTAAATATTTTGTATAATTTTATGCTTTCAGCTACTAGTAAATGTAACACTTGATGCTCAGTTTAGCATATTTGTACCATGTTTAAATCCATTCTGTAGATCAGTACAAACAGTGTGGGGACATTTCTGCAGATTCTGTCTTATTTATTGTAGTTCTAAATGTAAATCAGTTTTCAGGCTGCATGTAAAATTTAGTAATGCGTTACTCCGCAACGTGGAGTTTATTTCTTTTTTTCTGTTTTCAGCTCTCAAAGGTCAACTCCGGGACTCTGCAGGCATGGTTGAAGAGTCGAGGGTTCAATGTGCGCTCAAAGGATAAGAAAGAGGAGCTGGTGTCAAAGGTCATGAAGTGTCTGAGTGAAACTTAGGTGTGTTGGGTTGGGTTACTCGCCTAAAAACACACTATAGAGACCTTGCATACTGAGTTTTTGTTTGTTCCATTGATAAACTGTTTACAGTTCAATACGTTTGCCATGAGTTAGGCCATATTCGTTGCACATGACATTTAGCTTCAGCTTTTTTCTCAAGCAAGACCTTGTAAGCTAAAATCTGTTGTTTAATTGGATCCAGAGTTTAGAGAGAGCTACAGATAAATAAAAACAAAACATGTCTTTCTTTGTATAGTAGTCCTTTTTTTTCTTAACTTGATGGTCATTTGTCTGTCATTAAACGTAACCTGTTATGTTTAGTTAAACTCTGGTCTGACTTTAATCAAGACTTTAGAAAAGACCCAGATGCTTTCTCTCAGAAGTTTCTCCTAAAGTTCTTTAGAAGTAAAATCGGACACAAATGAGACTGTTGACATGCAACATTATAGAGCTGTATAATTCATGAAGATAACAGCTCAGAGGAATTTAATGACAAAATAGAGGGAGTTTATCTTAAAATCTCTTCTTTTGATTGCAGATGTCAGTATTTTGTTGAAATCTCATCTGATAGGAGATATTGATGAGACGCGTGAGATTACTGCAGATTTTTTTTCACAGGATAAAAATGTGATTTATTTTTGTTTCGTGCATGTTTTCTCAGCGATCTTTCCTAACATACAATTTCAGTTGGCAATGATGAACACCTGCTCTGCAGAAAACAGTGATGCAAGGTGACTTTCCTCAATGCTAATGACACCGCAGACTCCCCAAGATGAGTCAGAGTCAAGTCAGGGGCTCTTGACTGAGATGGAAATCAGGCCCAGCCCCTTTGATGGCTAATGATAGGCGCTAAAGTACGCTGTTCTTGCTTACTCTTACTCTTGTCTCTACTGTCCTTTATACTGACAGAGCTTAATGACCCATTCACATCTGACTTGAAAAGCTTTGCACTAAGTAGGAGGTCATGCAGAAGCAAGAATGCACTTCTGCAGGGCAAATATTGTCAGGCTTGAAAAAGTGCTGTGCATTTTGCACATCAAAGATTTGAATGTGAAACAGACTTGCTACCCACCACGCTGTAACTAACAGGGTGACTGTTAGTCATTACCATAACAGCTTCTAATATCAGCATGTTTAATTGATGTATGGCTTGTTTATGACGGCGAACAGGGGTTAGTTGATTTATCGACTCTTAGTTTAAGTCTTCAACCTCGCGTCACAGTTAAAGAAAAATGTTCCTTGAAAATGGTTCCCACACTTTGCAGAATCAGGCCTTTTTTGGTCTGCATCAGCACATGCAGCAGTTGATAGATGATATGTTTGATATGTTGCAATCGATGGTGTTTTTAAAACACAATCTACATCAGTCTGTCATATTTCATCAGACTACAATACATATATTCACATGCGTTCGCTCTTTCTGTTTTTTTTTGTTGTTGTTCATTTACTGACATCAGTGCACCCTAGAATGCACTTTTGTTAAGGTGCCAGTCACCACAAGGCACGGTACAAATTCCCGTCTCCTGCGTGCCAGTTCATGCTCTCATCTGACAGTACAGGCCTCGGGACTCCTCCACCGCTCTGATTTAGACTGTTTACCTGAGTTCTGACCTGCCAGACTCTACGTCCAACCAGATTAATATACAGAATCAAGAAATCTGCTGCTAAAATTGATGAGCTTTTACAATTGAAGCATTTAAGTACCATATTAAATGCTGGATTGACTGAGCAATGATGGGCCATTTATATATAAATCTAGATAACCCATATTACTTGCACAGAGGCTGGTCAAGACATTTTAGTCATATTTTTTATTTCTTTGAACTATAAAAAGGAGTTAAATTTGGTCTACCACACCAAGCAATCAGCAAGAAGTATGTGGGAAGACTGTATTCACTCTTTCTGACCGTCTGACCCAGTATTATGGTTTGGTCATGATAACAACATCACAATAATCCACAAGTAATCCACACGACTCCAGTCCATCAATTAATGTCTTGAGAAGAGAAAAGTTGCGTTTGTAAAAATCTAATCCATCATTAAGGGTGTGTTCACACTTGTCATGTTTGGTTCGATTAAAACGAACCCTGGTGCGATTGCTTTGTTAGTGCGCTTCGTTTGAGTAAGTGCGCACCAAACAAGCGGACCGAGACAGCTAAAAAGATGGGTCTCGGGCCGCTTCCAAACGAACTCTGGTGCAGTTCGAATTAAATATGAACGCAACACGGACCAAATACTTCTAAATGAACCAAAAACAGGAAGTAATGACAAGATGCGACATGATTTGATGGCGGAGAAAAGTTGCGTTTGTAAAAATCTAATCCATCATTAAGGGTGTGTTCACACTTGTCATGTTTGGTTCGATTAAAACGAACCCTGGTGCGATTGCTCTGTTAGTGCGCTTCGTTTGAGTAAGTGCGCACCAAACAAGCGGACCGAGACAGCTAAAAAGATTCCAAACGAACTCTGGTGCGGTTCGAATTAAATATGAACGCAACACGGACCAAATACTTCTAAATGAACCAAAAACAGGAAGTAATGACAAGATGCGACATGATTTGATGGCGCGGAACGAGTGGTGTATCCAAAACAAAATGAGCAGAGGGGAAACGTGGAGCAACTAGGAGGTAAAGTGCCTTTTATGAGCTCTTTGCTGGTGCAGTTCGAATTAAATATGAACGCAACACGGACCAAATACTTCTAAATGAACCAAAAACAGGAAGTAATGACAAGATGCGACACTATGCGACATGATTTGATGGCGCGGAACGAGTGGTGTATCCAAAACAAAATGAGCAGAGAGGAAACGTGGAGCAACTAGGAGGTAAAGTGCCTTTTATGAGCTCTTTGAGAGTTCGAGGTGGTGAAAATAAAATCGTAAGGACACGCCTCCGGACCAAATGAACCAAGAGAACCAAACTACAAGTGTGAACGCACCCTAAGACGTTTTTAACTTCAAACTGTTGCTCCAATGAAAAAGTAATCTCATCTGAATCAGGAGAGAAATCTGTACAGATCAAGCACCTTTAACAAATGAAAAGAGTTATAAACAAATATGTTGGTAGATTTTGAAGTGAGACGACAACAGGGGATGGACTTTTACACTGGAGGAAGCGTTATTATGCATTATGGACTATTTTGGCCAAAAGCCATTTAACGTTAATATATATTAGTTATTGATTTGTTTCTTACTAACACAGCTTTTAGTTTCACAAGACGTTTATCTTTTAGTTTCACAAGACGTTTATCTATCTATCTATCTATCTGTCTGTCTGTCTGTCTGTCTGTCTGTCTTCAAAAACATTCAAACTTTAATCTTTAAAACTATTTTAAACTTCAAACTGAAAACCGTCAAACTTTTAAAAACTTTATAAAACTTTCTGGTCTGGCTTTCTCAAGCCAACTTCAAAGTTTTTCTTGACAAACTTTTTTATCTAGTTATACAAAAAATATACTGTGATTATTTTGTCTACAAAATAATACAAGTAACTCACCCTCCAACTTTTAAATCCTCAATTTTAACAGAATAATGGTAAAATACTTCAAATTTCTGTCCACAGAAATGTTGGAATTATTCGAATGTGAATGTAAATAAAGTGAACCTAACACAGAGCACATTGCGTTCCCAAATGCAGGTGAAACTATTAAAATCTGTATGATTGTAAATTAACTCCACAGCAGTCTATATGCTTCAATTAAATCACAGCCTTTGATTTGATAATCACAATTTAATAAGATATATCGGTGGCTACATTTTTATTTAGATTATTTGTGCAGCCCCATTTGTTCATTTTAATGTTACATTACAATTTGCAAGCCCCAGTCTGAAAAAACCCTGACTTGGTGAATAACTGCTGCTGTGATCACTAGAAAACGAATGCAAAAACGTACACGAACGACGCTGACTCGGTGATAGCGAGAAATTATAATACAATCATTCAAGTAGGTAAATACTAACTATTTGCATGTGAATGGCAAAGCGTTGTTAGCAGCACCTGGTTAAACTGGATTGCGGGGTGGTTGACAAAGACAGGTTTTTGAACTGAAATATTGTGCACAAAAAAGTGCTGCAGCGGTTTAGTGAATTGGTCCCACAGTGTTTTATACATTTCAAATGTGCTGAACACCCCACCTGTGCTGACATAGTTGACAAATGCATGTGGATACATTTCTCCCAAATAAAATTGTATAATTGAAGTCAAAGCAAATTGTAGAATACCACAAGCATGCCAGCCAAATACACTAGAGGCGTTTTATGCTGTCACTCCCAGATGCTGTTGTGCTGGTGGTGCAGTCATTTCTTAAGCATCCAATATAATTAAAACAATCTATTATCAAATAGAATGAGTAGGTCAGTGTGTATCATAGTTAAGTATAATAAAAATGCAATGTAGTTTTATTAATATTGTGTGTATTATTACGTTTAAATGTAAAATTAGGAGCCATATTGAGGATGATGGAGTTAGATATACCAAAAAGGTGGGAAAGCTGCCCCTGACAGCAGGTTAATGTCTTGCAGCTGAACACCCACTGAGTCGTGATAAAATGCAGCTTTGTCACGCTGTAGTTCTCTCTCACAGCCTCAACACATGGCTACATTTTGCTGCCAAGCAGAGAACGATCTCCGTGCTTAATGTGCCCAAATGTATGAAATGCCAGAGGGACGTTCCCAGCGCTGAGCCTCAGAGCGGAGCAGGTGGCAGCTGGTCGTCTTCACCCAGCTCGAAAATCTGCTCTTAACCCTTCACAACCCCAGTGTTACACAAAGCGCTGCAGTGTGGACCGTATGTATGCTTGTAAAATAATAACATCATTTTAAAAGAGGTTTGCAAAAATGTCAGCCATTTAGGTGTACAGCCTCTGGCACATTCACATGTAATTAGTTTTATATGTTGCTCTGTTGGGTTGCTCCATTTAAGTTCTGTGTGTATATGACACCCAGGGTTTTAAACATGTAAGGGAAAACCAGAAAATGTCAGGGAATTTGATAGTTATTAATTAATAAGATAGCTAATACATTTAATAATAATACATTTAACATTTAAAATATTTTACATCAAATGTAAAACAATACATTCAATATTCTAAACCATTCAAATGATAACAAATTTTTATATTAAATTATTATCTGTTAAAATATTAATAATTTAACAGGAAATATTTATCAAAGATAATTAGATTTAACATTCAAATTAAAATTTAATAATTTAATTAAACATTACATTTGATTTG